GTAGTTAATCCCCATGATGAGACTGGCAGTCAACTCCATGGTGATATCTACCAAGAGTAGCTGCTTTGGGGATGTGGTCTGCTTCCCGTATATAAGAAGCAGCTTTAGGAATGGTCTCTAGCTTATGGCATGCTTGGACCCTGCCTGTAGCCGTGTCGTTGTTCAGCAGCCTGCCATGCTCTACCGACCTTAGGACTTACAATGGACTTGAATTAATGGCCTGCCATGTGGTTTGGTAACATCGGGACCATGCCTTTTTATCTGTCGACCTTGGGTTTGTCAGTCTCAGCAGCCAGCAGCTGTCTGAGTGAAGAAAAGACTCTAGATCCAGTAGGCCAGGTGCAGGAGACAGAGCTGAACCCCCTGGTTACCCAGCCCTTAGAGCCTGGCACTTTGAACTTGGACTTAAAGCCTCCAAACTGTAGGAGAATAAACTCCTATTGTTAAGGCCATCCCATTTGTGGCATAGTCTAATCAGAGTGGCACTAGGTAAACAACACATATGATATTAATGATATTGTTACCTCCTGAAATGGTTGTTGAATATTGACAGATTCTTTTTGATACAGTGTCTCTGTGTATTCCTTCTATCTTCTTTTGATGCTTCCTGCATTGGTCAATATTTTGCCTGTATAATTCTTCAAAATTGCAACTTGAGATTTGAATTTTTTTTTCAGTTATTTCAGCTTTAGAAATGCCAAATATGTTTTTCCTTTTTTATTTTCTAACTCCAGGTTTTGCACTTTTCGTTATAATACTTTACTTCTTAAGTACTTTACTTTGCTTCTTAAGTTGCCCTTCAAAATCTTCTGTTCAGATTTTTTACTTCATCATTTCTTCCATTTGCTTTCACTACTCTCCATTCAAGGGCAAGTTTGAGAATCTCTTCTGACATCCATTTTGGTCTTTTCTTTCTTTCTTTCTTTCTTTTAAATGATCTTTTGCTTTCTTCATGTAACCCTAAACTCAGCTGTTGTTCAGTAACTGATGTTTAATGCAATAAATCTAGCCTTCAGGTGGTCTCTAAGTTCAGGTGGTATATAATGAAGGTTGTATTTTGGATCTCATGGACTTACTTTAATTTTCTTCAGCTTCAACTTAAACTTGCATATGAGCAAGTGATGATCTGTTCCATAGCTGGCTCTGGCCTGTTCTGACTAATGATATCGAGCTTCTCCATTGTCTCTTTCCACAGATATAGTCTATTTGATTCCTGTGTATTTCATCTGGCAAGGTCCACATGTATAATTGTTGTTCATATTGTTTTAAAAAATGTATTTGCAATGAATACATCATTCATCTTGCAAAATTCCATCATGGTAATTTTTATCACCAGGGCCATATTTTCCAACTACCAATGCTTCTTCTTTGTTTCTAACTTTCATATTCTAATCAACAGGACTTTTCAATACATCTTGAATGCATATTTGGTCAATTTCAGGCTGCAGAAATTGGTAAAAATCTTCAATTTCTTCATCATTGAGTTTAGCAGTTGGTACATAAATTTGAATAATGATAGTATTAACTGGTCTTCCTTGGAGGCTTGTGAATATTATCCTAACACTGACAGCACTGTTCTTCAGGATAGATCTTGAAATGTTCTTTTTGACAATGAATGTGATGCCATTCCTGTTCAATTTGTCATTCCCAGCATCATAAACCATATAATTATCCAATTCAAAATGGCCAATATCGGTCCATTTTGGCTTACTGATCCTAGGATATCAATCTTTATGTGTTCCATTTCATTTTGACAACTTCCAATTTTCCTAGATTCATACTTTGTGCATTCTGGATTCCAATTATTAATGGATGTTTGCAGCTGTTTCTTCTCATTTTGAGTCCTGACACATCAGTGGATGGAGGTCTTGAAAGCTTTACTCCACCCACTTCATTAAGGTCACCATTACTTTGAGGAGGCAGCTCTTCCCCAGTTGTATTTTGAGTACTTGCCCACCTGAGAGACTCATCTTCTGGCACTGTATCAGACAATGTTTCACTGCTATTCATAAGGTTTTCAGTGGCTTGTTTTTTCAGAAGTGGACACCTCTTCCTTTTTCCTAGTCTGTCCTAGTCTGGAGCTCTGCTTAATCCTGTCCACCATGAGTGACTGGGTTGGTATTTGAAATACCTGTGGCACAGCCTCCAGCGTTCACAGCAGCATGCAAGCGACCACAGTATGACAAACTGAGGAGTGGCGGAGCCTTGCTCACAGTAAGTGTTTAATGAGTATCAGCCATCATTATTTTCTTATCAAAAGCATCCAAGTTACTCTACATCTCCTTCTTAGTTAGCTGCTGCTGCTGTACCAGAAACACCACAAGTGGATGGATTTAAGCAACTGAAATTTATCCTCTCAGAGTTCAGGAGGCTAAAAGTCCCAATTTGGTGCACCAGCTCTGGCCAGAGGCTTTCTCTCTGTGTCAGCTATGGGAGAAGGTCCTCGCCTCATTTCAACATCTGAGGGCCCCATGTTCCTTGCATATTTCCACGTGTCTTGGCATCAGTCTTCCTTCCCCTGGGTCTAAGTTCTCAGTGTAGGGACCCTAGATCCAAAGGGCGTGCTCCACTCCCAGCTCTTCTCTCTTGGTGGTAGTCAGGGTCCTCATCTCTGCTTGATTCTCTCTCCTTTTATCTTTTATAAGATAAAAGGTGATGCAGGCCACAGACCAGGGAAACTCTACTTACATCAGGGCTGTGATCTGAGTAAAAGTGTTGCATCCCACCCTAATCCTCTTACAATTGATTGGCTGATCTCATGATGGGGTGAATATATTATTATATAAATGCCAAATTATATCATTATGTAACTGCCAAACATGGCCCAGGCAAGTTGACACATATTCTGGGGGGACAAAATTCAAGCCATGATAACCTCTACACCTAATAGAAGCTCTACACCTAGTCACAAGCCAAATCATTCTTTGTCTAAATGATTTTTTCCCCTAGAATACTCTGTATAAAACCCTAATGCCCCCTAGAAGTAGAAATATAGTAACAGAGGGAAGTAAATAAAGCAGCAGCATTTACTACTATCTGTGTGTACAAGGTCCACTGAAAGAAGTGAAAGAATTGAGACATTTCAGTCAAGTAGGAGACTAGAGTTATGGGTTTGGGATCAAACCAAAAACCAAACTCACTGCCGTGGAGTCAGTCCTGATTCATGGTGAAGCCTCCTTGGGTTTCTGGGATGGTATCTATACAGAGGTAGATTGCCCAATCTTCCTTCTGAGGAGTGGCTGGTGGGTTTGAACTGCCAGCCTTCTGGTTAGCAGTCAAGTGCCTTAATTGTGTAAGGTGTGCATGCTGAGAGGCACCAGGGAGTGGGGGAGGCATGAAGGCACTTGGAGAGCAAGTACCGTGCAGGGCAGTGGACACTGAAATGGGAAGTAGGCATTTGCCAGTTATGAACATCTTCTAATTTCCTAGTTTGCAAATGAGCTAGCCCTAAATTTTAAATGAAACAGAATCTGGACTTTGCTTCCTTCTCTGTAGAATGGGGGATTTCCCTTGAGGGCTAACTTGTATTCTCCTTCTATTCAGCTAATAAATTTTCTAGGTGTCTATTTTGACTCACCCTATTTTCCTTACTGAAAGTGAAGATGACCTGACGTACTTACTGATGAAGATCAAAGACTACAGCCTTCAGTATGGATTATATCTCAACATAAAAAAAAACAAAATTCCTTACAACTGGCCCAATAAGCAACAGCATGATAAATAGACAAAAGATTGAAGTGGTCAAGATTTCATGTTACTTGGATCCACAATCAACACTCATGGAAGCAGTAGTCAAGAAATGAGACATTGTATTGCACTGGGCAAATCTGCTGCAAAAGAATTTTTTAAAGTATTGAAGAGCAAAGATGTCACTTTGAAGACTAAGTGCGTCTGATCTAGGGCATGGTATTTTCAGTAGCCTCATATGCATGTGAAAATGTGACAACGAATAAGGAAGATTGCAGAAGATTGACTCATTTGAATTGTGATGTTGGTGAAGAGTAATGCCAGAAGAATGAACTCATCTGTCTTGGAAGAAATATACCCAGAGAAGTACTCCTTAGAAGCATCAATGGTCAGACTTTGTCTCTCGCACTTTAGTCATGTTGTCAAGAGGGACTAGTCCCTGAAGAAGGATATCACGCTTGATAAAGCAGAAGGGCAACAAAAAGGGAGAAGACCGTCAACGAGATGGATTGACACAGTGAGTGGCTGTGATGATGGGCTCAAGCTATGCAATGATTGTGAGGGTGGCACAGGACTGGGAAGTGTTTCTTTCTGCTCTCCATAGGGTCACCATGATCAGAGCTCACTCGACAGCCCCTGACAACAACAACATTATATTTTGGTGGCAATTAAATTCATTTTTGATGATATATGCTTATCTTTCGTCATTCCTCAAATTTTGCCTAAGTCATTCTTATTTAATTATCAGAATACTTGGGAAAAGATTTTGAGAATTATTTAACTCAAAAACATTATTTTGCAGACTGGTAACAAATCAGAAGACAAAAAAGCTTAATACATCTTTCTGGTGACTTGCAAAATTTAGAACAATAAATCAACTCTTTGTATTTGGAAACTCTAAGAGAAAACCACATAGGAGGTGGATCTTCAGAACTGATGACGGTTCTGTTCCATTTGAGGCCATTTGGAACACTGAGGTCAGTTCCAAGGAGTTTCTCAGTTAATTAACTTCATGTCTTTGCTAGAGTCATCCCACTACTTTCTTAGCATCCCCAGAGACAGCTTAAAAGATCATATAAGCATGCCAGCCACCCATCTTGGAAGCGCAAAGTAACAAAACTAGAGTTTAATTAACATGGAAAAACTTAAAGGATTCAGAGAATAAATGGCATACAGAAACTGGAATTCCATCCCTCACCTGAATCCTCATTTGCTTGTAGCTTCCCTGTCATTTGTAGTGTTGGCGGGGCAGAGGGTCTTCTTGGCATTTTCCCACAGTGGTGTCTAGTGGGCATTCTCTGGCACCCTCTCACCTGCCATAGAACCTCGGCTTTGAGTTTCTCTCTGAGTTTGTTTTGAAACCTGATGTTCACACTTCACAACCTTTAGAGAAGGGGAGGAGGAAAAACAATTAATTTGCTCATTCAGTGAATATTTCCTGAGCTCCTGTCATGTGTCAGGAATAAATTTAGGTACCAGAATCTCTGCCATCATGAAGCTCATATTCTAGTGAAAGGAGATATATATTAAAGGAATAAATATATAATGTGAGATGGTTATAGCATCTAACATAAATGGAGGAAAATAAGGTAGAGAAAGGGAACAGGATATGAGAGGAGGAGGAAGTTACATTGAAATAAGGTGGTCAGGGAAGGTGACATTTCAGCAAAAACCTGAGGGAGATGAGGGAACAGCCATGCTGATATATGAAGGCAGAAAGTTGTAGAAATGGGAGCACCAAGTGCACATGTACTGAGGTAGGAGTGTAACCGTGTCTTAGGCTGGGTTCTCTAGAGGAGCTAAACCAGTGAAATTTCTATATAAACATACCCATCCCCTGCCACTGAGTCCATTTCTACTCACGGCAACCTGATAGAACAGAGTAAGACTTTCCTATAGTGTTTCCAAGGCTGTAAATCTTTACAAAAGCAGACTGCCTCATCTTTCTCCTACAGAGTGGCTGGTGTCTTTGAACCACTGACCTTTTGGTTAGCAGCTGAATGCTTTAACCAGCACCACCAGAGTTCCTATATAAATATACAGAGACAGATTTATTTCAAAGAAATGGCTCGCACAATTTGGAGGCTGGCAAGTCACAAACCCCTGAGGCAGGCAGCAGGCTGGAGGTTTTACCTGACTCGTGTGACTGCAGGGACTGACGAACCTAAAACAAGCAGGCAGCAGGCAGCAGGCAGCAGGCAGCGCGCAGCGGGCAGCGGGCAGTGGGCAACGGGCAGCGGGCAGCGGGCAGCGGGCAGCTGGCTTGTATTGGTTTTCTAGTGCTGCGATAACAGATATGCCACAATGGATCACTTTAATAAACAGGGTTTTCTTCTCTTACAGTTTAAATGCAAACAACGCAACCACTGCCGTGGAGTCGGACCCATCTCATAGAGACCCCTCCTTGGGTTTC